AGGATATGATACACCAAAATACTGTTACCAAAATCATTAACTGCATGATACTTTTTTTTTCCAGTTTATCAATTGGAAATTGAAAAAGTATGATATAAATTCAAATGACTACTAAAACTTGAAACGTAGGAGAGATAACTTAAATTCGAAAGTGAAATTGCTTTCAATTATATTTTCCTTTTATAGGCAGAAACACATATATATTATGAGTAATTATACTTTTACTTCGGATAGAAAATTTATTGAACGCCCTTGAATTTGAATATTGTCAATCAATAAGTCTATTTAGAAAAAAATTATAATCGTTTTTTTTCGCCATTCATTGTAAATAATTTGGAAATATTTATCACATTTTGAATCTAAATTATATCATTACCATTAGTATTATCATTAATTTATTATCATCATTAATTTATTATTATCATTAACTATAAATATATATTACTTTAAAACGTAATTCTTGGGGAAATAAAGATTTAAAAAAATATTTTTAATACAACTCTAATCGTTAGTACAATAGTTTAAATTTAAGTATTCCTAATTATCAATATTTTAATATACATACATAAAAAGAGTACGTATTACTTAATATCGAATGTTTAAAGTTGAGCAATGAAACGTTTATGTCGCTAGTAGTGACCTTCGATTTCTTGTATATGCAAAAAATAACTCGACTTAAAGTAATTCTCAAGGAGAATTTTCAAAAAGCTGTTATTTATTGTTTAATTCTACATAATGCTTAGTTTAAAATGTTGGACAAAAGCTGGTAAAAAAAAAATTCCGATAAGTAAGAAAAATACAGTGCTTTTGTATTGAGCTATGTAATAGATATGAAGGAATAATGTTATAATGTATTTTTTAAATGTCGTTCACCCATAGACTCAATTGCTTTTACAATTTTAATTTTAATAAAACAATTGCAAGACTTTTTTTTACCATTTCGTTACAGCACGCCACTCGCTGAAGTGAGGACACTGAATTGTGCACTGTGCCAAGAAGTGTGTACATTGCATGTCGGTAAGCTGTGTGATCTATGTTTGTACTTTGTAATCTAAGTGTTACATAACATTATATTTGGAGATTTTTCAAGTATTATAAATGTTATTGCAATTGACTTACGAAGTGCATTCAAAACATAATTTTTACTTTATTTTGCTCCATAACCGGCGTGAGAGTTTACGACATGTTTAACTCTGTAGCCTTGTAAATTTGAACCCAATCGAGAAGACGAGAGAGCTCCTGGGTCAACCGTGGGAGATTTCTATGTTAACCTAATACAGGTCGTTGGAATGTTAGCCAGTGGTAATTTAAAGTAGATTGGGTCGGTCATCAAAAGGTATCACGCTGAAGCCGGCCAAATACGGCAATCGTACACACAGCATGTCTCGCGGATGTCAGGTAACGTACACATAAGTCTTCACGTGGTATCAAACTGCAGTTATCAAATAACTGTAGTTAGCAAATAACTGTAGTTATCAAATAACTGCAGTTATCAAACATGATCTCAAATTACCCTCTGTCAATTTTTTTAAAGCTAAAGTAATAGAAACTTCCGAAGTTATCATCTCAATTTAAGTGCTAATTTCCTATAACCTTTTTTAAGAAGGACTATTTAGACCAAAACGTAGAGTCAGCGGAGAATAGGTTAGAATAAATATTAACAGTAGAGAATTTTTTTTTAGCTGGAATAGATAATTAACACAATGGCTAATGGCTTTCAATGGCTAATTAACACAATAGATTTTTTTTAGAAAATTTGCCCACATACAACGTGTAAAGTAAATGTAATAAAGAAAGAATGCTTACAACAGTGGAAGGGCTATTCACAAACTTTTCATGATCATTTTACAGTAATGCGAAAAATTTCTTTTATAAGAGAAAGTGTAAGAGTATTTACTCTTTTTAACTCAGTGGTAATGCTTCACGCTAAAGAGACACGGCAGAATCGTAAAAGAGGAAGTTCATACATATCCAAACTTACAGCAAAAGTATCGGATAGACCTAACCGGTACTACGTCTGAATTATACATTAAAGGTAGACCTAACCGGTACTACTACTGAATTATACATTAAAGGTAGACCTAACCGGTACTACATCTGAATTATACATTAAGGGTAGATCTCCTATCCCTTTTTACACAGACATCTTTTCATCATTGCGTAATGAAGTATGTACTTCTTGAGACAGAATTTTGCAGTCGATCTAAATTTGACTGCGAAAAGCTAAGATTAATTTCCTTAGTGACTTCCTATTGATTACTTTATAATTGTATTGCTTAAATTCCTAGTGCACTTTCGCATCCAAATAGAGTCTCGGTGCTGCCATCTAGTGTGGCAGAAACTAGACGTCCAAATTCACATGACGAACGGTATCTTACCCATTGTGGTGGTCTTGAAAGAGTGGATACCACCTCTGGAGAACGCACTAGGTCTGCTCATCGGCAAGACCGATTGTGCAGCTCATTGGAAATAAAAAAAATAAAAGAATTGTATTGCTGCAAAATTGCTGAAAACAATATTAAAAAATTGTAGTAAAATAATAATTGAGTAGGAAGATTTTTCTAATAGTAAAGCNACAGAGTGAGACTCCATCTCAAGGAAATAAGAAAAATAAAAAATAAAAAAATTGTATTGCTGCAAAATTGCTGAAAACAATATTAAAAAATTGTAGTAAAAGTAATAATTGAGTAGGAAGATTTTTCTAATAGTAAAGCTATTTCACAACATACTTATATATAGACGTGTTGTTTCCAGTGTTTTTTCTTAGTGTACTTTTGACTTAAGTTATTTTCGCTTTAAATTGTATTTCTCTGTGTCACATGTACACTTTTCGTAATGTGACAATTATACTCTTTTATTTGCATCTAATCTTTTAGTATTTTTTAAACCTTTCTTTCCTTATTTTATATAACAGTTTAAATTTATTTCATGTGATATTTCCCAAATAATTTTTTTTAAATTAGGGTTTTGCTTTCACAATTTCAACATATAGTTTTCTTTAAACATCTTGTCTGACAAAATTTCCCTTTTCTTGTCATGAAGTATATTAACTTTCTGTTCGCTCTTCCTCGCTGGTCAATGCGGTCATTGCACTTCCTGCGAGGAGTTACTCCTCTATACTCGACTTTTTTCCTCTATTTATTTTTTTAAGGGGGACTTACTAAACCAATTTCTTTTATTTGATTTTCCAACTCTCCCCTCTTTAAATTTAATTATCTAACACTTTCCTGGGTCTACACCAGTTAACGAATTTTTTAAGATATTTTCTCGAGCCTACTTGTTTGTTACACCAAGGGTTGTACCCTCTCATTTCTTTCCCCGAGGTACGGACTTTGGCCCGTATCGAGGGAGTTAATTCTTTCTCCCGCATCCCACTTTTTTTTTATTTAATATAATATTTTAAAATCTTCGAATCATTATAAATTTCTGTAACTTAATGTTCTTTATATCAACCTTTTTATACCTTTGAATGTTCTTTGAAAATCATAATTTTTTATAATTTAAATGATTCTTCAGTATTCATCTTATCACCCTTTAAATTTCTTTCCTTTGCATTTTTTATAATGTATCACTTTTGATTGTGAAACGCTTATGAGATTTCAAAACTATTCTTATGTCGCCCAATTTTCCTCAAACTTTAGCATTCCTTTAAAAAATTTTCGTAACTTCGTAATCAATTATCTGTTTTTGTGTATGCGTGTGTTTTAAAAATTGATGTAATAAGAAAATGAGTTAGAAAATCAATAAAAGATTCTGTTGTTTAGCAATGAATTCTCATTTAGTTGCTTTTTTTAAATCAAATTTTTCTGTATGTGGTGAGTACATTTTATCATTTTCTGGTTTGCGTATGGGTTTGTTTAGTTGCAAACATCATATAACGTGCCAAATGCTAAGCTTGTTTCTGGATCTAGCATTTCATTGTCTTATTTATCTTTTATCTTTGATTTACTTTAGTTTTTAGTTTAGTTTTCACCCTTATTTGTGATACCAATTTATCCAATTTGTTCATACCTCAACCATTTGAACCAATTGGGTTATTGTTATCCCACGATAGCTTTATACTCCCACTTTCCTTAATGATCACATTACCCTTAACTTAATTACTTTTGCATATATAATATAAATATTTTTTTAAATGTCACACATTAAGTAAATTTATTTACATATTAAAATAAATAATGGATTGACGATCGAAATGTGTATATGTACTTGTATATAGTACTTGAGTGAAATAGCAGGCAATTATTGAATTTTATAAAGAAAAAATTAAACCCGATAATAGGATCAAAAGTAATTAAATTATGGGTAATGTAATCATTAAGGAAAGTGATAGTAAATCGGTTCAAATGGTCACAAAGTGTGAGGTTTGAAAAAATTGGATAAATTGGTATCCAAATTTGGAATAAGGGTGAAAACTAAAATGAATCAAAGATAAATTAGACGATGACATGCTATATCCAATATATATTCTTATTTTATTTTCCATTATGGGGCCGCGGCGCACAGTCAGTTTTTGGTTTAACCACTGACTACAGAAAGGCTTCAGCAGTTATGTTTCCTTGCATGGCAGTGTATCCCCTGATGAAGTACTGTTTGTGCTAATATGCGTATTTTAAAAATTTGTTTGGTTTTTATTTATATTCTCATATTTTTATTTAAATCGTTTAAAAATCCAGATTTATACATCAGTATATAAATTCTACTAAAACTAAATTTTTCTGCTCCTAGCAACCATGTAAAACTTAGCTGACAACAACTACGGATTGTGGTATTTTTTTATATTTAGAGTGGTAACGAATCTTATAAATTTCCTTTTAATTCTAGAATTTATGAATAAAATTCTATAAGATTTTGTCTTCCACTAAACGCAAATAAATGAATTTTATATGTAAGAGTAAGTTATACAGGACTGCTAACTTTCTACGCTTTTTGAAAAAACTTATTTTAGTGGTATCTAAGTTAATGTTTTAATGTATATATTTTTTATTCATTAAAACTTTTTTTTCACACTACTGCATATAAATGATTTTAAAGTTCATAACCAACGCCAGTTTATTCTAGCTCTTTCGTGATGAAGCTTTTAAAATGTTAGCAAACTTTCTGAAAGCTTTGGTTTTGAAATGTCAATAGAAATAAATATAGAAATGGAAGAAATAGAAATGAAAGTGGGCGTAAGCCATAGCAATTATTAAAAGTTAAATTTATCTACAATTGCAATGCAATTAGTCTCTTACAACCACTTGGGAAATACTTCTATGGAAACAGTAAAAGTAAGCAAGTATGTTTCAAATATATAAAAATTGAATATGTTGGTCAGAGCTCCCATTTAATTACAAATAATATTTATCATTTAATAATATCTGATTAATAATTAATAATCGATTAATAATTAATAATGAATATAGCTTCTTTTCTTTCTTTTAGATATAAGTTTCTCAGCTACAAATGTTTTGACAAAGTTTTGATTTTTATGCATTTTCTTTACAAAATAACATGTAGTGGTCGTCGCATTTTGTTTTCATTTGTATTAATGCTCTTATTCTAAGCCAACTCGAAACCTTAATACTGGATTCAAAAAGAATGTGACAGTATCAAATTAAGAAAGAGAGAAATGAAAAATATAGTTTGTTAACCAAAGGATTTATTTATTAGTACACGTGCTTTTTTATATAGAAAGCACAAGGGTATCGTCAGGTGGAGCACTTTTTGTTTTTAAAAAACGTCTCATAAGTTTTATACATACATTTATACGTAAATATGCATACGTATTAAAAAAAATCTGCATGTATGTTATAGTTAAAGTGCAATATCCGTTATTTTATAGAATAACTAGGAATTTCATGAAATAACTGGACAAGTCAGTTAAAGTATATAAAATTATTAAGTTCAACGACTTAACTAGGTATTCTATAGAATAATGATTATTTGATCGTTAAAGTAGGAAATACGGCTCTTGAAAGTTCTTTGAACCGGTTCCAGCTGCTTTTAGTCAATTTTGACCAGCAGCTAGCTGTTTTGAAATGACACGTGTGTACGCTTCACCCTGCTGCATTTATACGTAGTTACTAATATGAGCAATAATAAATTATATCACCTATTTTTCCTAATTATTTTTCAACTAATCATTCGAATTAGGGATGAAATGTATTTTCAAGAAATTCTAGCTGTTTATGATCAATAAATTTATAAAATAGCATTGAAATGGTTTATTTTTCAGTTTGATGGTCTATCATTAGTTTTTTCATAAAATAACTAGATAAAAGATTACACTTTTCATCTATTAAATACTTTAACTGATTTGTCTAGTCATTTCATGAAATACATTGTTATTACTATGAAATAACTGAATTATACACAATAACTGTAACATATACGTACAACTTAGACTAACTAAATGAAGTTTTCTAATAAAATGTGCCCACCCCCCACACTCTACGCCTATGCTTATAAGTTCTTCTCAAGTTAAAAACACAAATTAGAGAAGGATCTCAAAAAGATTTTTTTTCCAGTTATATAATGGACACATTTTTAATACATTACAAATTGTATGTAAAATAATAATTTTTTTAGTTTTTATCATCTGTTTATGAATTATGCATAAACTTTGCGTCCATTTAATGGTTGAATCGGTCGATAGTTGTTGACAAGATGGCATTTATCTTCATTGTCAGTTCCTCTTCTTACGGAATACAATGAATAGAGCTGTTTCATCTAAAAAATAAAGAAAAAAGTTTTTCCATAAAACTGTGTTTAGCGTTTTTCTAAAACAAAATCTTGTAGTACAATCATTTAAATACTTTAGTATTTATTGCTATAAGCATTATCCATCTGTACTCCCTATACGCAATTTCCCATTTAAGTATAAAAGCAACAAAATGTACTTTTTTAAATAATATAAAACAATGTATTAAAGCATACCCTCCAACTGCTACGGAATTTCAGTAGTTTCAGAAATCTTCTTTTCAAATTAATGTCTTAATATTTAAAAAAAATTAATTTTAGCGTAACTTGTCCACTATTACTTATAAAAGTGCAGGCCATATGGCTAGATTCTTAAGTTCTGATAAAAGTTTTATGAGAGATCCATTTGTTTTAAAAATTTCTACTTTGGTTCGCTACCACTAGAAAGAATTATTTTCAAAATTCTCATAAGTTGGAGGGTATGTTAAAGTGAAAGCTGACATAAGAAAATGTCTTTTTTTACCCTTTTCGTGAAACAGCGGATTTCAATTGCTAATTTTAGTTTTACAGAACGCATGCAAGCGCAATTTTCGACAGTTGACACGTTCTGGTTACAATAATTGTTATCAATTATGGAAAAAAGTACGTACTTGGGATCTTTTAACATATTTAATTGGTTTGCAAACCAACCATGTGACATT